AGAGTCCATCTGTTCATTTTTACCCCACGGGGCCTCTAAGGAGCTCAGGGCAGCATACACAGTTTCCCTTCCCTGACAACCCTGTAAGGTAGGCCAGGGAGAGAGAGAGAGAGAGTGACTGATCTAAGGTCTCCCACTGAGCTTCGTTGCAGAGAGGGGATTTGGACCAGGGTCACCCATATTCTTGCTCCGATACCACCGTGCAACACTGTCTGAGCCTCAATAGCTACAGCGACCTGCCCTGAGGACCTCCAGTAAGCTAGAAGCTGCTGGTGTTCTAATGGGGTAGGATACAGCCTCGAAACTGAATGGAGAGCCTTAAATTACTGTGATACTGAGGAAGTGTGCTGAAGAAGAAGAGATTGGATTTATACCCAGCCCTTCACTACCCGAAGGAGTCTCAGAGCGGCTTACAATCCCTTCCCCTCCCCTCCCCACAGCAGACACCCTGTGGAGTAGGTGGGACTGAGAGATCTCTTTCGAGGAGTGCTCTTGAGAGAACAGCTCTGAGAGGTGACTGACCCAAGGTCACACCAGCAGCTGCATGTGGAGGCGTGGGGACTCAAAACCTGGTTCTCCCAGATCAGAGTCCGTGCTCTTAACCGCTACAGCAAACTGGCTCTCAAAAATGACAGCTCATTGTGCCAACTCAGAGTCTGCATCAGTAGAATTTTGGGAAGTGGAGCCATTCCTCTCCGTTAGCTCTAAAGCAAACAAGTTCCTCTCCTGTGCACAGGCATCCTCCCTCCACATTAGGAGTGGCTCATTCTTGGCCTCTGCACCCCCTTTTCCCCCCTGACTGCAGCTTTCCTCCTCTTCTAGCTTCCAGGCCAGAGAGAACATCACACCTGAACCTTGGAAAGCTGCTTCCGAGCAAGAGTAGCCTGTACCGAGTGAGGGGGCTGAACGCTTTTGCCTTTTAACTTGAGAAATGGGCATGCCAGGCCGCAGGGATTGGTATCTGGTGCCAGTTGCATTTTCCATCTCCTTGGAAGGCTTTCAAACATAGCTGCCAGGGCAAGGGATGCCATAGGATCCCAAAGAGGGTGGCCAGGGGTGAAAGGGTGTGGCTTCGATGCTGTCCATCACGAGCACAGAGCCCAAACTATATTTATAGCCAGTTTCTCTGGAATTTGTTCAGAGAGCAAGAATTTCAGTGGGCTTGGTTAAGAGCGCCCAGCTTCTTGTCTTTTGGACATTGCGTGCCCGGGCTTTGTACGTTGAAACTGTTTTCTTTCCCCCTTCCTCAGGCCCAATCACCAACGCTTTCATCACTCTGGCACCGGCCAACATGATCAATCCGGACAGCAAGCCCAGCGTGCCCCTGCCGAAGTTCAGCCGCCACCTCCACAACATGGAGAACATGGAACACTCTGACGGCGAGGGGCTGACTCTCTGCCTCGGCCTGCATCAGAAGGTACGGGGGCTGAAGTCGGGGGGCGGGGGGGGCACTCTTGAATTGCACGTCTCCCGTGTTGAGACAGTGAAGCTCCTGTCGGTTTCAGCCTGAGGAGAAGGGGCAGCCCTTGGCGGGCCCTTGCCGATGCGACGCGAGTCAGAAATGGGCTTTGCTGAGCATCAGGGTACAATTCTAATGCTGGGGAAGGAGAGGATTTGGGCGAGAGGCACATGCGTTGTCTCCCTCGGCGTCTTGTTGACAGAGGCCTTTCCCGCATTCTCCTCTTCCTTGCTCATGTGTGCGCCTGTCGCTGCAGGGGGTTTTCCTGTTCCACGCATGGTTTGCTCCCCCTGGTGGTCAATTCAGTATTACACCAGTTTATGCCCCGGGATTAAAACCTGCAGTTTAAATCTGCAGGGAGACATGGCCTGATGGGTAGCTGTGTAATATCCAGTTGACCACTAGAGGGAGCAAAGCACGTGCAGAACCAACCACGGCAGAACATAAGAACATAAGAGACGCCAATGTTGGGTCAGGCCAAAGGCCCATCCAGTCCAACACTCTGTGTCTCACAGTGGCCAGAAATACCAGGTGCCATCAGGAGGTCCACCAGTGGGGCCAGGACATTAGAGGCCCTCCCACTGTTGACCCCCCCCCAAGCACCAAGAATACAGAGCATCACTTGCCCCAGAGCCCCTATCTATACCTTGTGGCTAATAGCCACTGATGGACCTCTGCTCCATATGCTTATCTAATTCCCCATGCTTGTAGCCGCCACCACTTCCTGTGGCAGTGAATTCCATGTGTTCATCACTCTTTGGGTGAAGAAGGACTTCCTTTTATCCGGTCTAACCCGACCGCTCAGCAGTTTCATGGAGTGCCCACGAGTTCTTGTATTGTGAGAAAGGGAGGAAAGTACCTCTTTCTCTACCTGCTCTGTCCCAGGCATAATTTTATAAACCTCGATCATGTCACCCCTCAGTCATCGTTTCTCCAAGCTAAAGAGCCCCAAGCGCTTTAACCTTTCCTCATAGGGAAAGTGTTCCAACCCTTTTATCATTCGAGTTGCCCTTTTCTGCACTTTTCCCAAAGCGATAATATCCTTTTTAAGGTGTGGTGACCAGAACTGCACACACAGTACTCCGAATGAGGTCGCACCATTGATTTCTATAGGGGGCATTATGATATTGGCTGATCTGCTTTCAATACCCTTCCTAATAATCCCCAGCATAGCATTGGCCTTCTTTATTGCAGTCACACACTGTCCCGACACACACACACCCAAAAAAACCCCAACAGGAACACACAAGCAAGGAAAAGGAGGATGCGGGAAAGTCCAGCGGCTGAGTCAGGAAGGGCCTGGGACTTCGCCACCTCACCTGGGGATCTTGGAGGGTATGACTAGGCAGCAGCTGTGCATAACTAACTATCAGGATTTATGGCAAGCTCGGATAGCCTTTAAAACCCGTTAAGCAAATCATGACAGCCAGAGGCTCAGCAGTGGCTGTAAGCCATGGCTGGGAAGTGGAAACTTTGTTTGCATCAGCAGTCTCTCCGAGTATCTGTTTGTTTCTTTGCTTTATAGCCTGCCCTTCAGGCCAGTGAGGGCTACCGGCCGCCGAAAACAGAGCCATATAAAAATGCATCATAAAACCAGAACTAAAACATCACACAGGGCTCTTTTTGTAGCAGGAGCTCCTTTGCATATTAAGCCACACACACACCCCTAATGTAGCCAATCCTCCAAGAGCTTACAAAGCTCTTCTTACAGGGGCTACTGTCAGCTCTTGGAGGATTGGCTACATCAGCGGGGTGTGTGGCCTAATATGCAAAGGAGCTCCTGCTACAAAAAAGAGCCCTGAACAATGCCCCCTCTAAGCTCTGGAGTCTTGTGAGCAAAAATTCTACTTTGTGAGCTCCCGGGCCTTAAAGTTGTGAGTGGGAGATTTGGCTACTGCATCAGTTCGTTTGGTCTGGAGCCGTCCTTCCTGAGCTAAGACAGAAATCTATGAGCCGGAGGCTTAAAAACTGTGAGCTAGCTCACACTGACTCAGTTTAGCGGGAACCCTGGCCCTGAAGATATGTATGCATGAAAAAGGGACACCAGTTACAAGCACAGAGCAGGGAGGAGGGCGTATTCGGGGAGTGAAACAAAGTCTTCACCCCAACTGGCAGAAGGCAGTGAAAGAAGGGGACGGACAGATATCCCCGGGGAAGGGAGTTCCATAGTCTTGGCACCATGACTGAAAAAGCCCCCTCTCCGGTTGCCACTTGCCCGACATCCGAAGGCGTAGGCACCAGTGTTCCCTCTAAGCTGAGTTAGTATGAGCTAGCTCACAGTTTTTTAGCCTCCGGCTCACACCTTTGTGCCTTAGCTCAGGAGAGGTGGCTCCAGAGCAAGCTGATTTATGCAGGAGCCCAATGGCTCGCTCACAACTTTAATGCCAGCAGCTCACAAAGTAGGATTTTTACTCACAAGGCTCCACAGCTTAGAGGGAACATTGGTAGGCACCCAAAGGGAAGCCTCAGAAGAAGACCATGATGGTTGGATAGGTTCATGTGAGAGAAAGCGGACCTTAAAGTTGTGCTGGCCCCCCAGGCCTTAGAGGGCTTTAAAGGTCAACACCAGCACCTTGAATTAGGCCAAGAAACAAATTGGATGGGCCAGGTTAGCCCGATCTCGTCAGATCTCGGAAGCTAAGGGGGATCGGCCTTGGCTAGTATCCGGATGGGCGACCTCCAAGGAATACCAGGGGCACGATGCAGAGGCAGGCAATGGCGAACCACCTCTGAAACATCTCTTGCCTTAAAAAAACCTCTAGGTCGCCACCTAGTGGTGGCTAACGCTAAAAGAGCTAGAACTTCTGGCTGCCAGACAATCTTAGGCTTTTCTGGCTATATGACACACACTGCCATGCGATAATTATTATTAATGATTATTACAAGTTGGGAGCCAGTGGGAATGAACCAGGACTGGAGCGATACGGTCCCTGTGACCCGCTCCAGTCAGTGTCCTGGCTGCAGCCTTCTGTACCAGTGGAAGTTTCCAAACGCTTTTCAAGGGCAGCCCTGTGTCGATCGCATTGTGTGTGGGTGTTAAATGCTGTCAAGTCGCTCCCGATTTCCGGCGACCCTGTGAATGAATGACCTCCAAAACGCCCTGTTGTCAGCAGCCTTTCTCAGGTCTCGTGAACGTCCTTCAACTTTTCCCTGCGTTTCCTCGGTTGCATTACAGTAATCTAATTAGATGTGACTAGGGCATGCCCCACAGTGGCCAGGTCTTTTCTGCCTAGGAAGGGCTGCATCTGGATAACCAGCCGCACCGGGTTAAAGGCACTCCTGGCCACACCTGCCACCTGCTTCTTCAGCACCGCCAAAAGTGTGAGACACACAGTCAAAGATACACAAAAAAATACAACACTCTATAATCCTGGTAAGTAGTAAAAAGCCCAGTGGCACCTTTAAGACTACCGAATTTTACTGTAGCATAAGCTTCCGAGGAACACACCTCTCTTTGTCAGATGCATCCGACAAAGAGAGCTGTGTTTCTCGGAAGCTTATGCTACAATAAAGTTTGTTAGTCTTAAACAATGGTCCCTCTAAGCCAGGGGTGGCCAAACTTGCTTAATGTAAGAGCCACATAGAAGAAATGTCAGATGTCTGAGAGCCGCAAGACAAATATTACACACACGTTTTTTTATTAACGTTAAATGAGACTGCCAAAAATAAAGACAAAAGGGGTAAAACCAGTTGTTGATAATGATATTTTTTGTCCAATGATATTGATTTGTTTGCTAATTATATTTATTTGTCAGAGAGAGAGAGAGAGTGAAAGAGGTGGAAAGAGAGAGAAACAAAGAAAGCAAATAGATGGGGAAGTGAGGGAAGGGGGAAGGAAGGAAAAGAGAGGGGAAGGAAGGAAGGGAGAGAGAGAAAAAGAGAAAGAAACGTGGAAAGAACACTGGCTGCAGAAGGAAAGCTTGATCAGGGAGGCCTGCCTCCCTTTTGCTTCCCCACCTGCCCTGCCTGGAGCCGCACAATAGGTGTGAAAGAGCCGCAGTTTGGCCACCCCTGCTCTAAGCTGCGGATGAGCAAAAATCCTACTTTGTGAGCTCCTGGCATTAAAGTTGTGAGCAAGCGATTTGGCTCCTGCATCACTTAGTTTGCTCCGGAGCCCTCCTTCCTGAGTTAAGACCAAAAATGTGTGAGCTGGAGGCTAAAAAACTGTGAGCTGGCTCACACTAACTCAGCTTAGAGGGAACACTGGTCTTAAAGGTGCTACTGGGCTTTTTACTGTTTTGCAGCAACAGACTAACATGGCTAACTCCTCTGGATCTGTAATCCTACTAGGATTCCAAGTAACTGCTGCAGTCTGTGCAAAAGGATGTTGAACCGTAGCAACGCTTAAGTATAGCTTATCAGTGTGTATTGCAAAGTATTTAAAGAGATGTACAATTACTACAAAATAGTCAAGGAAATGTGCTATATCATGAGTAGGTTCATGCATAATATGACCAAAGTCTCAGTAAATGTAACTTCAGAGATCCCGAAGGTGAATTCAGGGCGGTCAGTCTCTAAGCTGAATGCAGAGATGATCCCCACTGTGTCAATTCCTGTGCTACATGGCTTCAATGATAGAACAGTTCTTATTTGAATCAGGAAAATTCAAACAGGGCAACCAACTCCCAGTATTAGCTGTTGTAGATTTTCTGAGTTGTGTGGCCGTGGCCTTGGCATTGTAGGACCTGACGTTTCGCCAGTAGCTGTGACTGGCATCCTCAGAGGTATAACACAGAAAGATGGAGTCCTCTCTGTGTCAAGGTGGAATGGAATTCTGACCCAGAGAGTACTCCATCTTTCTGTGTTATACCTCTGAGGATGCCAGTCACAGATACTGGCGAAACGTCAGGTCCTACAATGCCAAGACCATGGCCACACAACCCAGAAAATCTACAACAGCTAATGAACTCCGGCCGTGAAACCCTTTGACAACATATTCAACTCCCAGACAGCAATGG